CGCGTTGCCCTCCACGGCCCTGCCGGTTTCCCCAGCGCGGACCCCGCTCTCCCCGCGGGCCTCCCCGGCGGCTCCCGGCCCGGCCCCGCAGCGGGAGCGCGGCGCGGAGCCGCCGTGACCTTAGCGGGCCGCGGGCCCAAGGACGCGCCAGGCCGCTGGCGGAAGGTTCATTCATTGCCACCCCGCTGGGCCTGCGTGCGGCTTCCCTTGAGCGGCCTCAAAATGCCCTCTGGCTGCCTTTACTGCATTTCAGTGCAAAATGTACATTGCTGTCTCCTGGCCTTTCCTTCCCATCGCGTTTTTCTTTTTCCTTTTTTTTTTTTTTTTTTTTTTCCCTCTCCTGTGCTGTTCTGCTAGCTTTTTTTTTTCCTTTTCTTCCATCCATATAATGCTTGTATGGATTCACTGAGTGATCCGGCTAGTCCCAGTAATGTCTCCTGAAAGACATCAAACGGCATGGAAGCACCAGCTTCTCTGTCTTCTGCTGCATATCCAGATATGCAGTGCTTGCTGTCTTTTAGGTAGGACAAGAGGCTTAGTAGATAATAAGCTCTTAATCTAACAAAAAGACATTGTATGGGATCCATTGTAACCACATGCCTCTTTCTTTTTATAACACTTTTCTTCCTTTTGCAGATCCGTGCTGGATCAAGAGTCTTGTACAGACCAATTTCGGTGTCTGTGTTCTCCAGGCCAGAGGTCGGGACTGGAGAGGTACCTTATAAACAAAATTCTGTATCTTCCTAAATTACCTGGTGAGCCTAAATGTCCTCAATCTAGACTTCACACCTACTAGTGCAAATAGCTACAGAGTGACACTTGCTTGAAATGGAATCTCTTATAATACTTATTGCTGTCTTGCCGCTTCCCCTGAGATGAGTGTTTTACATGTAGTGTTAACTGTGTTCAGGTGTAAATGTAACATTCTGAACTGTTAATTCTTAGATATAGATTCAACACTTATAAGAGCAATCAGTTATTGGATCTAATACAGCTCTTAAAACTGAAGAGTAACAGTATATCAAAGTGGTCAAAGAAAATTGTCTGTGTTCAAATATAATGGTTTTTTTCCCCGTTGTTTTGTTTTCCTAGGGCAACTCAACACTTTATGGGGCCCAAAACACTGTCTCCCGACTAGCACTTAGAGAATTCCAGACTAGTGCTATCAGCAGAGACATTGACACTGCTGCAAAATTTATTGGTGCTGGGGCTGCCACAGTAGGTGTGGCTGGTTCTGGTGCTGGTATTGGAACGGTCTTCGGTAGTCTAATCATTGGTTATGCCAGGTAATGTCTCTCTTTCAAAAGCCTTGAACTGCATGCAAACAAATGTATCTTGACACAGCACTTCCAGATAAGATACTTGAGCTGCAGGAGGGATTGGAGAGCTGTTGTAAATTCTGTCAATGAATAGTGATATCAAATAGGGCTGAATAGGGTAATATGAAGCTGCAGTATATTCAGCAGCATGAGACTCGCTGAGTTCAAAACTCTGTACAGTTTACTCTAGAAAAGAGAGTTGAAGAAGGTGAGGTGATTAGACAGTTAATGTTTCCCATGTTCAGTTTCAGAACATAAGTCAAAATCTAGCCTGAATCCTTAATCCTGTAAGGAGGAGCTGTATGTGAACTGTTAGCATGTAGTTGGATTTTTTCTGCTTTTTTCAATGAATGCTTTTTCAATGCATTCAGTTTTGCATCTCTAAGTATAAAACTACTCTGAATGGTTAATTATTCCCTTTTGGAATCTGAAGGAGTAAGAGAGGCAGAAATCAATAGTAGGAGGTTGAACTGAAACTGATAACACAGCTCTGCTGTGTAGAGCTTACACAGTTCATGCAGTGCCTAGAGTTCACACAGTATCACTGAAGAGCAGGACTGATACAGGTACAAAACACTGGTGGTATCATGTTCATCATTACTCTGAGTGATTTAAGATTTAATTGAGTCTAAAAGATTTTTTAGCCCTACTGAAGACAGGGATGTCTGCTTTGCAGTGCAGAAACAGAAGTTTTTCATTGCAGAACTACTGCTTTTTTGATTTTGACAGTGCTCTTTTTTTTAACGTGTGAACATGTGCAAGGAATCATTTCATAATGTAATATTGATTTTTACTTTTTATTTCTCCCACACTTATTGGAGGGATAATAGTGTATTTGTAGCAAACTGCTGCATACTTGTTTCTTTACTCTAGATGTTTCAGTTCTTGCATTTAGCTGCAACTACTTGCAATAATGTAGAGTTAGGAATTTCTTTGGAATACAATTCTGATGCCACAGGTGTGTAATACATGACAATGTATGAGTTTGAAGAAACTGCATTCCAAAGGACATGCAAGTGTAGTCACAAAACAACACCAACTTGGAAAAGCTTTGTATGACTTCTTAAAAACAGTCAACATTATCTGAGCCCAGTCTTAATGAAATCTTTTGCCTTTGAAATCTCTGCTAAAGATTACTTCTGCTTGGGTTTGTTGTATTCTATTGTTATGACACCTGTGGCATGAGATTCTGAATCTGTCAGATGCATCAGCCTGTGTATGAATATCATATTTGGTGACGATAAAAAGGTCTTATGCCTTCGCTTTCTTCTAGAAACCCTTCTCTGAAGCAGCAGCTGTTCTCATACGCTATCCTGGGATTCGCCCTGTCTGAAGCTATGGGTCTCTTCTGTCTGATGGTTGCTTTCTTGATCCTATTTGCCATGTAAAAGGACATCTGTCTGTACTATTGGCATCGGAATGTAATACTGCATATTTTATGGGACTCCCAAGATGTTGGTGTCATGGAAATTGATACTATTTCCAAAGTCATTTCATTAAAGACAACAACTTTAACTGTCAACCTGTTGCCTGCGTTTGTTATCTTTCTCCTTAGGATATCTGGAAGTAGGTTATCAGTCAGTCACCATGGATTTCTCCTGATTTATCTGTAACATCGGACCTTTAAAGCAATGGCTTAAGGATTAGAACTGTTTCAATTCACAAATTGTTTTTTTGTTATGCTAGCTCACACAAGGTATTTTAGTATCCCTTGCTAGAAGGAGCTAAACAATCTACAAACATGGAGAGGGGAGGGGGTTTTTTTGCATCAGTTTGCAGTGTAATTTTTGGTGACCCTAGTTGAGGTTTTTCAGTCAGTTCTGATTCCTGTCCAGATTAAACTGTTTGGTTTGGTTCTTTAAATTATGCATTGTTTTGACCAATGCATTTAGTTGTGGCACTTGAAAATTATGCTTTTACTTAGTGCATTCTTGGCATCATCTAATTAGAGAATTTCCAGCTTTCTGATTTTAAGTCACTGAGATCAAAGTGTTTCTAATAACAAAATGCTTGAGAGCTTTGCTTCTCAAAGTGTCAAGCTTTGCTTCTCACAGTACCTGTATTTCAATGGGACAGTGCATTGTCTATGCTTCTAGCAACAAGCGTTGTAGTACTGTGCTAACCAGTGGAGATTTTCTGATCTACTACATCAAGCTTTCTGCTTGGGATATTAATTAATAGATCTACTTATTCAACAAATGCAGAAAAATTGGCCTTTGGATTCTTCCAAAGGAAACAACAGTGTTATAGTCTTGTTGTTAGATGAGTACTGAAATAAATGCAGGAAGGAGTCTACACTGAGCTGTAGGTAGCCTGTTCCTGGGGAAGCATAAAGAAGTGAGTAGTGACTGCCAGGTCAGTGTGAAGTATAAATGTGGTTTTTGTTTTAATCTGAACTCAAATACCAAATTGATATTCATATAGCCTGACTTGGGCACATAGCTTATGAGGCTGCTTCTGTCACGTTGGCTCTGGAGAAAATAGTGATTTTCACAAAAAGATTAAAAGATTAGCCTCTAGTCTAAGACCAGACTATATTCCTATATTATTGAGATTTCACCAGGCCACAGTCTTCATACTCTTCTCAGTTGGGCCTAGCTTTCACTCTGTAAATTGTATTTAGCAGTAAGTGTGCTTGGTGCAGAGATGGGTTCTGGCTAAGCTATTGCTCCTTAGCCTAAGAAAAGAAAGCATTTAGTTACTTTACTGGCTACTTTAAATAGCTTTGAATTGGAATTTCTGGATTTACACTCCTTTCCCTTGTGGTTCACCTTGTCAACACAGACGCTCTTTTTTTATGATCAGATTTGTCTTAAAAGCAAACATCTTGGGTGGTCCAAGGTATGGATGTGAAATTTTACTATTAGCATCTTCCCAAGCTTGTTACCTTTTAAATCCCTCTTAGGCTACTGAGTATGATCCAAACTCAAGCAAAACTGTTGCTGAAAGGCCGATGAAATGATACTGCAGACCTCACTTTCTTGAAACCTTTGTCACGTTTTCCTTCTGGCATGGACTTTGTTGGCCTTACAGAAGGTCACTCAAGCAGAGACTGTTACAGTTTCTCAACCGAGGATTGTGTTTGTGGTTTGCTGTTAGAGTCCCTTGGAGCAGATCCACCTTGTAAGTGATGTGTACAACAATGTTTCCTTAATGTATAAGGAAGGAAGTGCTTTTGTTACTATGTTCTTATGTCATTGTTGCAGGTAGAAATGATTCATCCTTCTGTCTTGCTTCCTTCTTCGACTTTCCTTCTTTCTGATTATGTTTTTCTTATTTTTTATTTTTATTTTTTTTTGGTTGGTTGGTTAGTGTTTGGTAAGGTGGCTGTCAATTTCATACGGAGGAAAGGCAGATAACTTGAGTACATGAGCACAGAATAAAACTAAAACTGCATCCCAGTTTCAGATGCTGAACTGTGTCCCCAGAGGTGATGAGAATAATTTTAATCCAAAATGTGCCTTCTTTCTTATCTGTTAAAAAAAAAAAAAATCAGATAAATGCTTTTACAGTTCTATAACATTTTTGATACATGTTAAATAATTTGAATGTTTGGCAGAGCAGAGCCACGGCTTCAGACACGCTATGTGAAGTGCAGCTATGTGGTTAGGAGGAGGGGGAAACTAAAGCCAAGAAATGCAGCTGCTAGAAGATTTTGGGGGTGGCTCCCCTAAATTATTCGTGGTGCTTGAGCACAAACCCTTGTTGAGCAGCAGCTTCACCCAATGTGCCAGAGTGCAGCTCTGACACAGCTTGGCACTTCGATCCACCTGAAGTCGGGTCAGCCCACTGCACAGGGGCGGGGTGGGCTGCCCGGTCACCCATCCACGAGCCAACCAGGACGGACCCTGCTTAGGTAGCGCGGCGGCCCAGCCGCGCCCAGCCCCTCTCCACTTCCGGCCACACAGACAGCGGGGCAGCGCCCGCCGCGGCTCCCGCCTCAACCAATCAGCGGCGCGCCGCTTCCCGCGCCCCGCCCCGCGCCGTCACGTGACTCGCGCGCCGTCGCCGCCCGCGGAGATGTCAGTTGCGCTCTCGCGAGATGTGACGGAAGCCCGTGGGGGACCCGGCCGTTAACGCGCGGTGCGGCCGCGGGGCTGGCGGTGAGTTTGTCAGCAGCGCGCGGCGGCGGCGCCTCCCGCCGCCCCGCGCGCCGCGGCGGGGGCTCCTCGCGGCCCGCGGCGGGGGCGGCCGCCCCGCTCCGGCGCGGCGGCGGGCGGCGCTGCCCGGGCGGCGGTAACATGGCGGCGCCGCGCCGCCCCCTCCCCCACCGCGGCCCCCGCCGCCCCTAGAGCCGCCGCCAGGTAGGGCCTGCGGGGCGGCCGGGCGCGGGGGGCGGCCCCGGCCCCGGGCCTGCTCCGCGCGGCCCTGCGCCCGTCCCGCTGCGGAGCGCGCCGGGGCCAGCGCGGCCCCCGCGGCCTGGGCGCCTCTGCGGCGGCCCCGCGCGGAGCGGGGGCTGCGGTGTCCGCGCGCCGGCCCATGCGGGCGCTCCCGGGCGGCCGCCTGCGCTGCTGCCCGCGCTGCTGCCCGCGCTTACCCGCTCCCTGCAGCTGCGCTTGTGAGGGGGTCCGCGAGGCAGTGCCGCGGGCCCGCGGTTGCGCTTTTACTTTGCGTTGCATGGCTCGCGCTCAGCAGCGGGGTTACTCTCCACATAACGGTCCTGCCAGCCGTTCTGCCGCCCTCGAGTAAGAAACTATGAGAAAGCCCAAAATTCCGTGTTGCCCACCGCTTTCCAACTAGTTGAGGCAAGGCCTTTGTACTTTCCTTTACACCTGTTAAAATTAATAGCTCTGTTTTCTTTTTCGTGTTGTATTCAGTGCTTGAGATGATGAGTGTGTTGCCCCAACCTGTTGCCAACTGTAGAGCTTCACAGAGTTAAAAAAGACAAGAGCAAATAAAGATTAAAGTCATAATCCTGCTAAAGTTGACAACTAAGAAAGAAGCAGTCTCAGCCGATAGCAGGAGGAAAACTCTTTCCTGGGGCTCCGGTTTTCCCTGTGTCCTCTGGTCATGATGCCTTCCACCTTCCCGTGGCACCTCAGCTGGTCTGTATGGATGGGAGCAGCTCTGCACAGGTGCTCACAGGGTGGCAAAACAGTGAAGCGAGGTGCTCCTCTGAGTTCCTTCAGGGTCTGTTGCTCTGCTTTCTAGAACCCCAGTCTAGAGACTGTCTTATTAGACATAAAGAACAGAAACACACAGGGCAATAACTTTGCCAGGGGCTGTTGGCTATATAACGCATTGAGAAAAATAAGAAGCTTAAAAAATCATTTGATCTACATGTGGAGCGTTGTTATTTTATCTGCAGTGAGTTTATATGCTAATAGGGGTGTTGCAGGCTAATGTTTCATCAGCTAGTTGAAAGTTTGGTTGTCTTTGCTGGTCTAGCTCTCATCTCTATCCTTTCTTAAATTCTAGAGAAATGAAGTTGGTGTGCCTCTTTCCAGAAACTTCTTCCCTATGCAGTATCTAACAGAAGATGCTCAGCTGCTAAACTGTGTCTTGTGTAATTTCATAAATCATTATTACATTTTGTATGCTGCTTTTGTGGTACTTTAAATATTGTGTGGCCTCAACCCAAATAACATGATGTTGTTTTGATTCCTGTTTAATTAAGCTTTGCATGCTCACCTGCATAAAGTTAATTTTCTCTCATCAGCTGTTTTTCTATCTTTTTCCAGTGTGAATTAGCTTAAGCCTACAATTGTATATTTTCATGTCTAAAAGTTTTTAAGTTTTTGTGTTAGTTTGTTGTTTTTCTGTGGTTTTATTCCCAATTTCAGTATGTGTATGAGCTGTTAAAATGATGCTGCATTTCTATATAAAAATAGTTACATGAATAAGTATGATTCAAAGCTATAACTTTTATTTTTCTAACACTGAGTGGAGTTAAGGTTATCGTTATTCCCAAGCATAACAAAACTGCCTGTTTCCTTTAAGCTGCCCAGGTGCATTCAGAGGAGACATGGAAGGCAGGCGGGAGGCGGAAGCCCAAGGCGGCGCTGGTCCGTGATGCAGCGGCCCGTCCCCTTCCCGCTTGTGCCCTGCTGGCTCCGGCACTAGGGCAGCCTGCGCTCTGTCAGGTTGGAAATTCCAGCTGAGCTGCTGGCTCTGCCAGGGACCTTCCCCTCGGCCTGTTGGCAAGGAGGGCCCTGCAGTGCCCTTGTTCCCAACCTATTTCACAGGAGCACAAAACAGTTGGGGTTGGAAGGGACCTCTGGGGATTATCTGGTCCAACCAGAGTGCCTGCAACAGGTTGCCCAGGACTGTGGCCAGTTGGATTTCAAACAGCTCCAAATACAGAGATGCCACAACCTGCAGGAGCAATCTGTTCTGATGTTCAACCATTCTTCTGGTGTAGAAGTGATTTCTGGTGTAGATACAGGTTTTTAGATTCTTAATGACTCAATTTTGCACTTCAT